CCCCCCAATCCACTTTTTCTCCGGATCATTCTCTGCTATGGTCAGTGCACGTCCCCTTCCCTCTTGTCAGGGTCCCGGTTCCCCCCTTCTTCTTCCAGGTCAAAGTTGAGCTGAGGTGGCGATGGGTCAGCGGCCAATGGCTTCACGTGTCTGTGGCTTACAGAAATGGTCAGCTTGATTGATTTTGTTGCCCGACATCTTGTCCATCAAAGGTTCTTGATGTTCCCCTGTGGATGTGTCCTCTCTGTCCCCCCGCAGAGGCAGTGGACATGCTGAAGGAGATGAAGGAGAAGAAGGTGGCTCTGCAGGACGCCTCAGTCTTGGCGCTGTTCCACGTCCTGAACGGGGTGGCGCTGCAGGGTGACCACGCTGCTGTCAGGAGGATTCAGGATACGGTCTACTCTGTGGGCCTGGCTAAGCCTGGCCCTCTGCTCTCCGGGCCCATCACCATTGCCTACCTGCAGAGGTGAGGCCCCAGGACGCTGCCCTCCGGACTCGGGGGTGGGGGGGGCTAAAATCTCCCGCCTCTATCGGAGTCCAGCCGTCTTCCAGTGCTGGCGAACGTCCCCCATGTCCCACGATGGCTCTGTGGCTTCCTGTCTAAAGCGCGGTATGTAAATGGGGCCTGAAGCTGTGCCGCTCGGAGCCGGAGCCTCTGGCTCCCAGCAACCCAGTGAATGTTTCAGGTCAATCTGTTTGCACGGCTTTTAAGTAGATTGTCCCATTTGCATGTTAATTATGTGTGGAGTCTCTAATTGCTGGATTTACTATGGCGATGGTAAGCAACTAGCCCAGTTCCTGTGTGCTCCTCATCCTGCGCGACCCTCCCACCCCCGTCTGGCGTCCTGCTGAACACTGGCGCCCCCTATAGGTTGGCACTACATGCATGTTTTTTTTTTCCCATCCGGTCGCTATGCGAACGCTGACCTGCTCTGCCATTTACAAGCTGTATATGCGAATAACGGGAGACCTTCTCGCCAGCCGGCCGAGACTCACTGAGGGACAAACAAAACCGCTTCTGTGGCAACGATTGACCAATGTTCAGAAAATAACAGGGGGCTGGGGGGTGTGAGATTTATTATGATGCCTTTTTATTTAAAAAAATAAAAATAAAAAATGCAGCTGGATTTCCGGTCAGGCTCCTGGACCCTGGAACAATGGGTGCTTTGCAGCGGGGGGGGGATTGATCAGGGCATGAGTGTGCGCATCATAAGCTGCTGGACTGAG